AAAAAAAACAAAAAAAAAACTCTGAAAAAAAACATTCAGTATCCTCATATGCAGTTTTTAGAAAGAATATTTTTTTGGAAAGAAGAATGTTTTTTTTTTTTTTTTGTTTTTTTTAAATCTTTTTTTTTAGAAATATTTTCTTTTTCGAGAATGTTTTTTAAGAAAAAGAATGTTTTTCTTTTTTTTTCCCCTAGAATATTTGTAGATGATGCGCCGTTTGGCATCCAGCCGTTTGGAGGATATTCGTGATAATTTCAATGAGGAACTTGAAGAAATGCCAAAGAAAAGGTCACGACTGGATGATGACAAGTTATCCGACGATAGCGGAGATGAGGATGGATCCAGTGAAGTTACAACTACTGTAAAGGTATGGATATTCGGGGATTTTAAACTGCAGTCACCTGGGTTTTGTTCGGTGCAATTTTCTGGATTGTGAAGAGCTCTTGGTCAAGTGCTGCACGCCGATATTCCTGACGATCGTGGAGCAAATTTTTATGCGTTTTGTGCTGTAACAGCAGTACAAAACGCATGGTTACGGGTTGTTGTCTGTGTGTGTGTTTTGTGTGTTTGTGTGTGTGTGTGTGTGTCCGCAGCAACTTGGTCCGCAACTTTCAACTCGGGAACCACAAAAGCTAGGAAGCTGAAAATTTAGGGTAACGTTCCCCACCGCAACTTTCAACTCGGGAGATTGTTACGGGGTTGTCTGTGTGTGTGTGTCCGCAGCAACTTGTCCGCAACTTTCAACTCGGAAACCACTGTTTGTGTGTGTGTGTGTGTGTGTGCCCGCAGCAACTTGTCCGCAACTTTCAACTCGGGAACCACAAGGCTGAAAATTTAGGGGAACGTTACCCACCCACGTGTGACCCCGCAAATTTAAATTCAGCTCCCCCGTAAAAATTTAGGGGAACGTTCCCCACCCACGTGTGACTCCGCAAATTTAAATTCAGCTTCCCCGTACCGACGGGTAACGCGTACAGCCCCTGTGAAAGTTTTTTACGGGTAAGTTAATATCTCGGGAACCACGGAGTCTAGGAGGCTGAAATTTTTCTGAAAGTTTTTCACGGGTAAGTAAATATCTCGGGAACCACGGAGTCTAGGAGGCTGAAATTTTAGCGTAATGACCCACTGCCCATCGTCAACCTTGCCCATTCAAATTCAGCCTTCCCTTACCCGCGGGTAATACGTACGGCCCCGTGAAAG